TGGTGTGTTGTGTGTGTGTTTATCATGGGATGGGAGGAAGTCTTTGTTTTTGAAAAGTTGCTCCCACAGCGGTTTTGGGATGACTTTACCAGTGGCTGCAATTTTCTGAACTTCGTTGTGATTTTCTAAAAACCCTGGCAACAATTAAAAGACATTAAAGCTTTCTCCCCATCCCACAGCCCCCACAATGCCTACCCCACCATGAAGGGGATTCCACTGGAGCCTTGGAACCTTCCAAGGGGAAGGATCAGAAATTTTTAATTTCCAAAAAACACCCCCCCCAAAAAGACCCATAGGATCTGGTGATGTCATCAGCAATCTGTTGCATAAACTACACTGTTGTATTATAGGCAATGTGAATCAAGTGTTCTCCTTCTACCTCATTTCTCAATACCATCCTTTTATCTTTTCGGCATTTAAGAAAATGTTTAAAAGAAAACATACACCTGGATCGCCCTAAATCTACTGGGCCTTTACGTATTTTTGCTCCAAAACTGTAAAGCAAGTTTTAAAATGTCCCACAAGTATAGAAAAGCAATAAAGGTAACTAAAAATCTTTGGTCTTTTTCTGTCACATGTAACTACAAGAATCAACAAGAAGTTTTCAATTTGTTTCATTTTCATGCTAAGTGCTTTAATCTGCCACCTTCCAACTCACAAAACATCTAAAGAAAGGCAATCATCTTGTAAAAAGAAGCAAAGTGATTTAAAAAAGGAGCTCTAGGAAATGGGATTTCAGGTACTATGCCTGAATTTTTAAAAATTCAATAGCTAGTTAACATTTATTCTTATTGGAATACCTGAACATCCTGAAGATTGTTATCTCAGGGTCCTTGCAGTCAAAGGGAAATGGAGAATTTTTGAAGTCACATCCTCATTGCTGTGCAAAGATGTGAAACGCTAGTGTTATAGACTAAACATCCCAGAATACTAGATGCTGGGGTCTTCTGGGAGCTGTAGTCCAACCCTCAACTCCCTTTTACCACCTGTTTCTGTGTACCTACACTAATGCCATCAGAGCTCATCTTCAAAAACGGGACTGCAGAACAGCACCACCCCTTTTCATAAGCTTCACCCAACTGATGGAGATGCACTTTTCTTTTTTTCCCATTTCGCACACACTGCAAAGCTTTTATTTTTATATCAACAGTTTGCAAACCACAATTAAGATGTGGCAGAAAATGATAAAAAAGCCCATGCATTTTGTAATCCTAAATACTACAATGAATTGTCCTGACATGTCTCCTCTTCTCCCCATAATCTGTTTCATTGACTTTTCTCCAAGTAATGTTAAGGACCTAGGTCCATGTTAGGGCAGAACTACATGTGATCCCAGCAAATGCATTATTCATTCCCAAACCTGTGCTTCACAGATGATGGAAATGAGAGAGCAGCTACAAACTGGATTTAGAACAAGGAAGGGGTTGCTTTCACATCCGCCCTTGTGTTGGCTCACTCACCCCCTACAAATGTTGAAGCCGTTCGTCCCCAAGCTGCTTTTACTCCTGCTTTTGGAACCTAGCTGGGAGAAATGATTAACAGAAGTAGTTGCAGGGCAGTATCAGTGGATGGGGGGAAGGATTATGCACCCCATTCCATCTCACATACTTTCCCTTACACATCCCCACTACACATGAGTGTTACAAGCAAAGCACATGGTTGAGTACCACTAAGGCGTAGCTTCACCCTGAGAGGACCAGACAGCAATGGAAGAAGATACTTGCTACCCTCTCTCTGCAGTAGATGACAAATGACACTTGAGAATTTTCCTCTGATTATACCAGCTTTTGGTAATTAACATTGCATTTTGCACACATTTCACATTGATGCTAAGAAGGAAGTCACATTTAGAGATGGAGCAGCACTGTGGCACACCAACAAAGGACAGCAGCAAAAAAAAGAAAAAGAAAAAGAAAAAAAGTCCTGTCAGTTTGTCCTGACAGTTTCAAGCCTGCATCTGTACGAATATGCAACATGATATGGGTCTTTCTCAGTCCCAATGCCTTGTCACTAAAGCTGAGCCCAGATCCTGATTATTGTTTTGCCTTTTGAAAGTGGCTCACACAATGGGATGAAGCAGGACAGAGAGGCTGGAGTACAGTGGGTGGGGGGGGGGAGAGAAACTACTTCCTCAGGGCAAGCATCTCTGATGTGTGTAATTTTATGTGGTTTAGGCTATACTGTGCACCCTATCTCATATTCTTTCAAGAGCACTGCAATGCACATGGGCTTAAACCCAACAGCTAATTCCAATGAGAGGAGACTTACTGAATCAATTGCTGAACATTATTAATCCACATGTAAATCCTACCACATTCAACTGGTCCTCCCTAGCTGGAATTAGCCATTGGATTTAAGACCACATCTGGGCCCCCAGATGTTTGCCTCAAGCAAAGCATGTTTCCTTCTGGCCTAGTTAATGGCTTGGGAGTTCCAGGATCCACTGCATGTTTTTCAAGAAGACTGACTGAGCCTCTGGCCCACTCAATCAATCATGATTCTGAATCATATTAAAGGCAAAAACAGGAGAAGTGAGGAAAATCAGCCCAGCATTTGGTGATGATGAAGCTCAATAACGTCTACATGCTATATCATACTTAAATGGCTAGAATCAAATTTTTAAAAGAACAACCCAAAACAAACAAACAAACAAAGAAAAACACAGCTAAACATTTGCAAAACCAGAAAGGTGAACGTTGCCGTGGAATCTTGCAGCTGTGTCAAAAAAAGAGTTCAACACCATCTCTTCTTTTGTTTTTTTGTTTTTTACATTTTAAAGTCCGCTGAAACATCCGTTCAATAGCTTGTATGAAAAATGAACAGACCGTCCATATCAAAATACAAAAGTACTATCAAGAATCACCTCTGACTTTTTTTTTAAAGATTTAAGTTCAGTGCAATTGACATTTGTGTTGCTAAAGGAAAAAGGAAATGCTGTTTAAATATACTCAAAATAAAAATCCCCCTCAAAACACATTTTTGTGTCTATTCCTGGGAGCACAGTTTAAAATTATTGCACAGATTATTTATTTATTTTTACATTTTTAAAACTTTTTTTATTATTATTTTAATAACGACAGAGGTCAGCCACAGTCCTGGACCTCTAACAATAAAAAGCAAGATTTTTCAAGTGCCAGATACTCAACAGGTTAAATTTCTTACATACGTACTGTAATTCACAGGGAAATTGTCCTGACCTCCTTGAGTCTATTTCCAAAACTCTACTAACAGCTAGTACACAGCTGTATTGGACAACTGATTGCCTTTATGAGTATAAATTTTCCACTTCTTTTCTTACAACGCCATGTATACGAGTATAATATCCCATTAATAACTAGGTGTGTGTGTCTGTCTCTGTGTGTGTATTGATGTGGATTAAAATGGGTGTTGTGACTTAAATGTCTGAACTCTAGGCTCCTCCAGGGCATGGTTTCATGTGTGCACACAGAGACGCAGCAGAAACCAAGGCTAAAAAAAGAAGTTATTTGAATTTTTTAGAAGTTTAATTACCTGTGCTAGCTTAATCTACAAGGAAATATAAAAGGACAGAGCTACATGTTCCATAGAAAACAGATCTGCTGCTGTAATTGGCAGTAGTGTTGGGTTCCCCAACTCTCTCCATGTCACCCTCAATCCAAATGCCAGTCCGGACTAGAGTTGCCGTCATGAACAAGTAGACACTCTGGGAGCCAGCATTTATCTGTTTTCCAGTGGCTCAAATAGTGTACACCCAGTTTGGACTAACAATTAGATTGAGATCATGGCATCTACCCAGGGGTCCAGCAGGGAAATGTCTTGTTATGATGACAGTCCTCATGTTAAGTTGTAGTAGATAGAACAAAGGAAACAAAATTCAGCATGTGGGTTGCCAATTTCAAAGGCCTTTCTTCTTTTGGGGGATTTATATGCATTTTCAAAGGCAGTCCCATTCATACGCGATGTCATTCTGCCCACAGAAAAGGAAGGAAAACAAGGAGATGTCCTGTTGCTATGGTGACAAAAGTACAGTGACCTTTGCAAAGCAACTGTGTCTAAATCACTGTCTAAGTACAAAATGGAGGGGAATGTAAAATACCACCAAATCCTTCTTTTTAAGGAAAAAGGAAAAGCCGGGAGCTGCTTGAAACATAATGCATCAGCAGAACTGGGAGGTAGCTTCCCTCATGCTGTATGTTTACTGAGAGGATACTACTAATGGTATGACTTCTAATCAAATGTGGGCAGGCGAACTCTTGTGAGAGACACCTCTCACCATGAAGAAAGGAAAGGCTGTAATTGATACTTAAAACAAAGATCTACTCTAAAGTTGTGATCATATTCCTCCCATGAAAACAAATAGCAGCTTATGTTTATCCTCAAATTTGTGTTCATTTGGGAGAGAAGAAATGTCACAAGCTCATACAAAAATTAGGAGGCCAGAGCAGCAGGGTGAAATTAGTGCAAGACGTATTTTCTTTTACGGAAGCTCAGTCGCTCGTTATTAAAATAAAACTTGAAGCAAGTCCTCGGTTGTAAGACATCATCTTTTCATTTCAAATCTAAGGGGCAAGAATTCATTGGGAGCTTCACCAGCACATGTTTTGCTGAGCATGCCACGATGCTGCTCTCTCCCCCCCCCCCATTTCAACAGATTTTATATGGACAACATTTCCAGTGGATCAGTACCATTACAGATTAAACTTTTTCCCTCATTCCAGAAGCAATAGAAAAGAGATGTCAAAGGGTTGTGTCGTTTCTTTTTTTTGTATGAAAGAAATTTTAAAAAACCCAACAAAACACACACCTCCCCAAATTTTTAATTTGGCTGCACTCGACATCTGAGTAAGAAGGGCAAAACTATCACAGAAGTTGTAGCAGAAAACCATTGGCCTGGATGATTTTAAAGATGTAACTATTCCTTATCTCCACCATTTCATTCCTTCTCATAACAGAACGCAGTTGGACCATAATGATGCTTTCAAAGAAAAAAAAAAGGACCCAGATTTTCCTCTTTTTTTTTAAAGTCCAGTGGCAGCATTTGGAATGTACACATGCATCTGAAATAGGGACATGTCGATTAGGACTTACTCCTTGGATCAAGGAGTGTAGGTTGGCATGCAGAGCGAAGCCCTACCTGCCGATCACAAAAAGGGCTGAAATGTGCATGTGAGGAGGGGAGTGTGCTCGTCCTACCTCCTCGGTGGTCTATCAGGCAGTCTGAAGAGGCATCCCTTGCAGAAGGTGTTGTCCTCTCCAGAGTTGCTCCGCAGATGGGTTCAGAGAGAGAGGAATAGGAATAACATGTATCCTCTTTATATGCTTATTTCAACCATTTCTTGTTAATGCCTGGATTGAGCCACACAGGGCTCTGCAAGCACACAGTCCTATAAAAGTGTAACCTTTAACTAGTGATCCTCCAGTGGGCCAAATGGCACCAGCCGGGTCGCCTGCTGCGCATGTTCCAAACACCGATCTATCTCCTGCATGCTTATTCTTTCATTCATTTTTGTACCCTTCAACGTTTGGCAGAAATGTGTCAAGTAAAGAACGTCTTTCTCAAATGGTCAGTATCAAAAGGACGCTGCTTCCACCCCATAAGCTCATGACCACTAGCTCTTAGAAGGTAAAGGAATGTTCGAACTTCCCATTTCTACAGGTTCTGCTTTGTTTCTCCTTCTGGATGAAACTGTGAGCAGATACTAACAGCATGGCCCTGATGTGTACAGTGTTAGAGATCATGCATTCAAAAGGCCTGTAGGAGAAAGACTTCCCCTGCAGGTATGAATCAACAGGCGGCTGGCCCACCACCATCACTACGAAACAGATGCACACCTTGCTTTCTGCAGCAATAAAAACTAAACTGGGGGGGGTGTCTGTGTGGAGGAAGGAACGACAATGAACACATTACTGTTGAGAACGTATGCAAACCCATTTCTCCTGTACATAAAAACTGCTCATCACCTACCAAGAAAGAAAGCCAAAAAGAAGAAAAAGAAGAAGAAAATCAATATTTGAAAGCTTTAAGGAAGGGTGAAGGTATTGTGGGGAAATTTTGTATGAGAGGGGGAAGCAGCCATATGTAGCTTTCCCCAATTTTGGTGCACTCAATGGGCTGCTCATATACAGTTAGGTATTTTTCTCTTGTCCTGGTTTTTTCCCCATTTCCAAAATGCTTACATGTTATTTGTCTGAGTGGGGGCACAGCAGATTCCAGCATTTGGTGAGCAGGCTTCATAAGCTGTAACAAAACTCTGTCATCTTCTTCGGGGGTGTAATCGTTTGCTTTGCTTTTTTTTCTTTTAATATTCAGTATATGTATATAATTCTTTCAGGTTTGGCTGTAGTGGACTGGCCATGGTTCAATTGGGACTATAGCAGTACATGGGTTAAGGGGACAGTCATTTTGGCTATGTACACATTCATAGTCGGTCCATGGCTTCCACCTAGTAGCGCTATTTCCGTAGGTCTAATACACAAACCTGCAAAAGGGAGGAAGGGGAAGAGTTGGTATATTCAGAAATACAAGAGACTAATGCAAAAAAACATGCACATGATTCTGCAAAAAAATGGGCCAAATTCTACTGAAAGCTATGTTGGCGTAACTCGATCAGCGTACACGTGAGTTGTGAATTGCCACAGGTTCAGAAGTCAGCCCTGGCATCTCCTGCTGCGCACTGAGTCACATACCTCGTGTTCGATATGCCTGCACTGACTTCTTAACTTGTGGCAACTCCTAGCAGAGTTTCGTGACCCTGGAATTATGCTGGTGGGAGTAACTGATAGGATTCTGGCCAATCAGATAAATGCAACAGAAGAGATGCTCATCAGTGCTTTCTAACCATTTTAGCATCCAAGGCAACCTCTATGTAGAGTATGTAACTGGCTGGCACCCTGAACTTCAACCATTTTATACTGCAACAATTTTAAGAGGCTTTACTTGCTATGCAGAATACTGAACTGAATGGACCTTGAACTTGCATCCTTGCTTTTTATAGGGAAACCTCACCAAGAACTTAGAAATCCCTGTGGCTCATCTATGCTTGTGAATCCTCTATCATGTGTGAAAGCAAATACATATTCACTTTTTCTTCTGTTGAAAAATGAAAATGACTCTCCTAGGCCATATTTCTACTTTGCAGCACTGGGATATAATTATAGCCCTTTTGGGGTGTCCAGATAAGGTTGGGGAGGTGCCCGATGTAACCTTCTCCATGGGTTTGTATAAACAGGAAACTGAATGCTGAAAAAAGGCTAATGAGAATCCATTTTTCAACTGGATTCTGGCAGAAGGCTTGTAGGTCCACAGATTTTTTAAAATCCTTTTGTTTCCAATATTTGTTTGTGAAGCCCTTCCAGACAAACAACTCAACATTATTAACCAAGAATTATTATTACGTTTTGAGTGATAATTTCTAGCTGGAGGTCCTAGCTAACAGATGCCAATGAATTATGTCCCATATTTTTTCATTTATAAGACACCCCCTTTCTAAGCCCCAAAGTAAGAAAACATAGCTTTGAGTATTCAAGCCTCTGGGCTCAGAATGCTCTGACATTATGACTCCCTGATGAATCTGAGCATTGCCTACAGGCTCCACCTCCAACGAGGTGGGTTCCTATTGGTTTGTTCAGCATCAGCTGAACAAGTTCCTCAATTCCATAAGGCTCGTGATTGATGAAGCTAAGTCTCCTGACTGTAGGAAGCTAAGCCTCATGATTGAAGGAAGCCTTTTTACAGAGGCAAGGTACGAGTCATTTTGTTCTCTTTGTGTTCTCAGCTTACTTCCGTGTAAAAGATGCCCCTCAAGTTTTAGGGTAGTGTCTTATACATGGAAAAATACGGTATTCTCACAACCTCCTGGCTAACAAAATGTTATCCCTTTTTGTAACTCCTGTCTTATTTGTTAATTTATTCAATTGGCACTTATTTTTTAAATAAGTGCTTTGTAAGTTGTAGTATGCTGCGTTTGTCAGGCATTAGCTGTTTTCCTTGGTCATATAGTCAGTTCCTAGCCTGCAAGTACACTCTATACAGTTCAGTACCTTGAGTGGAAGATTACAAGAGAGACAAGCAGGCAATGCCAGTTCTTATGTACTTACTGAACCATCTGAAGCACTTGCTCCAACTTTGTCTCCTGCTGCATTCCAGCAAACTTCAAAAATTCCTCCTGTTCCCCGGTAACTATGCACTAGAGCACCCGTCTGGAAGGAAGGAAGGAAGGGGTGGGGATAGATACCAATGAGAATTAGAATTATTGATTACTATTTACTAATTATAAACATGCATGTGCCAGGCAATTTCCTTTAATTTTACATTCATAGCACAACACAAGCTAAAAAATAATGCGTAAACGTGTTCCTTCTATGAGAGCCAGACTTCAAATGTCTTTCATACCATAGAAGGAAAGGAAATGCTTGTTTACTTATTTTAAGGAAGATTTTACCTTGATTTTCAACCATGAAAGTTGTGTAGAGCAGTGGTTCTTAACCTTTTTGAAAGAAACGCCCCCTTGAGCCATTGAGGAAGTTATCATCGCCCCCCTCCCCATGGTGAGGATATCTTTTTTATTTATTTATTTATTTATTTATTTATTTATTTAT